GACATTCAAATCATCTTTCAAACGCCAAAGGCTGTATCAGCAACAATGTCTGTGTCTGCGCTGGGATTCAGTGTTTTCCAGGGTCAGCAGCACACTACCCTAAAACTCACCGGAACTTCAAGACGCCCAGACCAACCAAAGCAGAGACCCTGGGACAGGGTCAGGCCACTCTTTCCCAAGGCCCGCAGACAAAGTCAAGGTGTGCCACAGTTTGAGAATCACTAGCCCGCTTTGCATTAAGGGTGAAATGATCACCATTTTGAAAACCCTGAAATGTAGGGCCTTATATTAGTTTAAATGACTATAAATGTTTGGAAATAACTGTCAGTTTATTTCCTTACTACCCACAGGCCCCAAACTCTCATCAACTTCTTTCCCAAACCTGAAACAAACAAAGGCCTAATGGTATTTTGACTGTGACACACACATACAGAGGACAAGTCCCAGGATAAGCAGCTCCAGGTGCCCTCTGACCTCGACCCCTCACTGTGGCAAGTATGCTCGTGCATGTGCAAGTGTAACGGCTGACTATACAAATGTCACCTAGACATTTTAAGCACCCACCTCTGAAAAAAATCAGTCAGGGAGAGTTGGCGCGCTGCACCTGGATATTTCCCATCTACAGATTCAACCAACTGTGGGTCAGGAAAGCTGTGAGCAGACTGAGCATGCACAGAATTTCTTAGGTGTCACCATTCCCTCAGAAATGTGTGTGGAGGCCCTCACAATCTAGAGACGCTCCAGAGCACACGGTGAGGGCACAGAGGGACACGCATGAGGAATATACGCAAGGACAAGGACAGCCACTTTGTACCTGGACCTTGAGCATCAGCCTTAGATTTTGGTATCTATGGGGGTCTTGCACCATGTGGGGTGAAGAAATCCCTGGGAAAGAGACCAGATTCTCTGCATGAGCCCTCGAGGAACGGAGCTAACTTTAAAACACGCTAAAAGTCTACGCTGACTGGTCAGAAGTTAAACCAGAAGACATACTGGGAAGAAACTGAGCAGTATGGTCAGTGGCGGCATGATGAATCCGAGCCATAGCTCCATAATCCCCTTAAGCCTGAGCTCAAGTCCAAAGTTTAATACCATCTCAACAGACTCCCACGTGCCAAAAAAGAAGTCACAACCCTCAAACACAACTGGTTCTCAGGATTCAGACTGCTTCACACGCACACACTGCAAATTCCTCTCAGGAGACTTTAGGTCACAAACTAATCAACAATGTGCCTGCCCCTCTCCTTCACTGACTGCTCCCTACTGGGCCTGCTCTTCTCAGAGCCCAGCCCTGTTCGCAGCCTAAGTTCTCAGTCCACACGTGTGCACTCTGTGAAGTTCAGGGATTTCAGAGAAGGAAGACCATGAGAGTTAGAGAGTCAAACACCTACAACAGCCCAGATACATACTGCTTAAAGCTCTCACTCATACACACAGCTCAGTAATTCCACGAAGTTCAGGATTCCACTGACTTCAGAAACTGAAGCTGGGTGTAAAGAAGGATGGAAATTTGGGGAGACCAGGCTGGCCCACACAGGGAGAGCCTACAGGGAAAAACAAACTGAAAGCATAACTAGAAGACCAGAGCACCCGTAGCCCAAGCCTGGCCCACAACAGAGCTTTAAACCTGAGCACAGTGCACGCTGGCCTGGGTGCAGCTTGAAGGTGAAGAGCAGTCTGGGAAGCTGACCCCAGGGCAGGCCTGCTACTTACAACCTTCCCTGTGTCAGGGCCACACAGCCAGCACTGGGCCAGCAGTGCCTCCCAGAGTTCCTGTTCACCTCCACATTCCCAAGTCAGGACCAAGGGCCCAGAGCAGCACAGGTCAAAGGAACTGAAATAAACGCAGGCCAACCCCTAAGGGGGTTCCAAATCTTGCCATTTTAAAAGATGGTGTTTCCTTCAAAGTAGCTCCCCAAACAAAACTTTATTTGCTCAGGTTGGGAGGGGGGGTGTTTGTGAGACTAGAGAGGAACCTCTCCTTCCTTCTACCCATTTCCCCCTCCCTCCCTTTCTTTCTCCCTCTCTTCCCCCCTCACTCCCCACACCAAAAGCTGGCAAGCTCCCAGCAATTCTCCAGCCTCAGCCCCTGAAGATGGATTTGAGGTGTGGGCCACCCCACAACAGCTTTATTCTCCAAGAACACTGTCATTTACCTACCTGAAGTAAGAACTGCTATTCTCAAAAACACTGCTGTTTACTCAGCCTTTCTGCAACAACTAACAAAAGCAACCCCATCAACAGCACAGTTACCAGACAGGAAGACCTAGTCCTCTCTCCTTACACAGCGAAGCATAGAAAAATGTATTAAGTGAAGGTCCAAGAAAAAAGAAAAAAGAGAGAAAAAAAAAAAAAAGCCTTCACAAACCTGGAGGAAACCCTGCATCCGATCACAGCGAGCAGCTTACCCTGGGCACTTTAGCACATCTTTAAAAAAATCCAAGAAAACAAAGTCCCAGATACCCTCAAATCTCAGTCCAGCCTCACATAAGTTGTAAGCAAAACACAGCCATGTTTTTAAAAGCTCAGATTTACACCAACACAGAGCAACAAATCTTTACTCTGGGCTGGGTAACTGACCACGAGGAAGACCAGGGAAATGGAGATTTATGAAAGCGCTCAAAATTTCATCACTTCAAATTAAACCACCCTATCCTTCCAAAAACCTTATTTAATAAAACCCCCTGAAGTCATTCACTGCCACAACAGTTAGAGTAAAAATAATGATAAAATTAAAATAATGAAGTTGTCAATAGTAGCACCAGATATATCAACTAGTGGAACTCAAGTAATGTCCTAAATAATTTTGGAAAAAAAAATGCAAAAATCTGTAAACCCACAGGACAGAGAGGAAGTTCAATAGGAAGAGGTAAATCTCTCCCAGCTCCCCACCTGCAGGAGCACCGGGCACAGGAAAGAAAGGCTTTAACAGACACAAGTTCTGTTATAGAAATTTTTGCGGCCAATTTTCAGGTGACAAGGAAATGAATGTTAAACAAAACAAAACACCAAAGCATAGAAGAAACAGCCCGACCCAGTGGCACAAGTCTGTAATCCCAGCATTCGGAAGGCAGAGGCAGGAGGATCACTTCAAGTTCAAAGCTAGTCTGGGTTTGAACTTGAGACCCTGTCTCAAAAAGAGGCAGAGAAGAAAAAAAGGAAGGGAAGGGACAGACTGACTGATGGATAAATGTAAGAATGGATGCAGGGCTTAACTAAATCCTTGTGTAAGTTTATCTTGTATGTTTCACAAAAAAGTTACATCAAAATGTAGTGTACCTGTACCTATAACATACCACAGCGCATTACATAAAACACAGAAAGGATTGCTTCCTAAGAATATAGTAAGAAACATCATGAGGCATTCCAATGTTCCTGTTTCCTTTAACAAATCCTAACAACCTGCTGGAGCTCCCCAATCCACAACATCAGGCCATACTGACCTCCTAAACACCTTTGCTTGAGTCAGGCTAATCAAAAGATAGCTACATTTTCAACCATTCCAGAAATGCGAAGACTTCCCCCAAAGGGGATGCATCAAAATGCATCCTCATTATTTCAGATCAATTCACAAAGCTCCTGGGAAGGCAGCTGGGCTACATGTGCAAGCATAAAGCTCTGGAGTTTGCAAAGATCCCTCCCCCAGAATATTTTAATAGAGTCCCATAAAATACTATTAGTTTCGCTTGTTTTATTTTGCCTATGTGGAAAATTACCTTTCTGGGAACTTTCAGACCATCACAGTAGCAACTCGGAAAAACGAAGAGACAGTATTTTTTGAAAATAACCATCTCCTCATCCTGTGCTTGATTATTGTAGCCTTACCCAGATCTCAGATACAGTGGCAGGTACGTGTCCCTGCTATAGTTTCCTTCAACTAAAAGACCTTGTGACTGGAAAATGGGCATGCACAGTCCTCCCTGGGGAAGAGTAGCTGGCAAATGCTGTGAACTTTACTAACACACCTAAGTGGAACCTGTGCACACCTGGGCAAGCAGGAAGCCCTTCAAAGACATCACTGCGCCACAAATGCTGACCCTCTTAACCTCAATGGCCGGCATCATTTCAACCTGTGGACACATGGCGTCCAGGGCAGGTTAAGGAAAAGTTAACAGCCATTCCAGGATGTTCCTAGGAACATCCAATCACGTCATGAATTGCCTAGGATTTGTCTGCCAAGTAGCCAAACGTTCCTTACAGGAGCAGCAGGTGCTGGAGCCTAAGGTCCACTGGCTGCTTTTAAAAGGCTTTTGTTTTAACGCTATTGTTTGGAGAAGGGAGAGAAGAAAAAAAAAAAAAAAAAGGCAAAGAAAAAGGAGCGAGAGAATGAGAAAGAAGGAAAAGAGAGAGAGTGGGGAGGAAAGAGGGAAGGAGAGAGGGAGGGAGAAAGAGAAGGGAAGGTAGAGAGGGAGGCAGGTAGAATAGAGCCACAATTACTCCCACCAGAGGCACGACAGCGGCAGGCCCACCCCACAGAGCTCTCAAACCTGCACGGGCATCATCTGAACATTCCTCCCCCATTCCTTTCACCCCTTCCCTGCCCTCTTTGGCCCAGACAAAGGTGAGTCACCAGTCACTGCGCTCTGTCCACTTGTCACTTAGGTAAATGTCCCCCACACAAATGGCTACTTTGAGTAAAAGAGCAAATAACGTCGCGGTGAGCCCCGTGAACTCTGCGCTGCCTAGAGCCTAATAAACCCGAATTAAGCACGACTCAAGTAAAGACGTCTCCTGGCCGAAGGGGGTAAAAAAGGCTCCTCACTACTTAGCAGGTCCCGGTCCCCCGCAGTCCCCTCTCCCGCAGGTCTTCCCGCCTCGGCTCGGCCGCCGCGTCCCGGAGCGCCCAGGCTCCCAGGGTCCGCACGCGCCCGCACCCCCTCCTCCAACCGCCTCTGCGCAAGGTGCTACCGCCAGGCGCCCGGAGGCCGGCGGGGGCTCCAGGGAGCGCGCCCGCAGAAGCCGGGGCCGCGGAGGGACGCCGCAGTGCCCAGGCCCCCTACCTGCTCGGCAGCCGCGGTCCCCGCGCCGCTCAGCTCCGCAGCCGGGATCCCAGCTAAGGACAATCGGGAGACAGATCCGATCGGCCGCCACACGGTAGGACCAGACAGCCCACAGCAACCGCCGCACCTCCCCTTCGGCCCCGCCCCGGGGACCCAGGCTCGAGGGGGCGGAGCGTCGAGGGGCGGGTCTCTGTGGGCGGGGCTTTGAGGGGCGGGGCCAAGGGCCCTAGGCACAGTGCACCGCGGAGTGTCAGTCAAGGTTTCTGCCGTCGGCTTGCTTAAGGAAAGGTCGTCTCTGAGCTCTCTCATTGGTTGGTGAGGGCACACATAGCAGAGCCCTGATTGGTTAGCCGCTCAGCAGCTCCTCCTCTCCTTCCCCGCCCCGACCTGCTGCTGCATTTGCCCTTGGCTGCTCTGGCCCAGGTATCTACAGGATGGGCTGCAGCAGGGGAGCTGGCAACCACGGAAGAGAACTCCGGATGCTGGGTTCCCCGCACAGGATATGAGCTCCGCCGAGTCCCTACTATATTGTGGGGTTTGTGAGCCTTTCTGTTAACAACGTCCCACCTTCAACTTCAAGTTAATTTAGTGAGGTCGCTGGGATGTATTTTAAAATTCTACATAAAACTTAGGAAGATGTCAGGAAAAAAAGTCATGCGATGTTTGGTCACACTAGACCTGAATTCCTTACCGCTTGTCGGAGTTCCTACAGAGAAGGCGTTACCTCCATTAATTTTTAATAACACAAACATTGTTTTAAGAAAAACAGAAAAGGGGGGAAACTTTGAAGGTATGCAAGGGACTCGTTCTTCTTTGATAGAGGAAAATACAGTAGTTACACTCTTCAGTCTCTTGAAGCAGGACACAGGGTGACGGAGATGTGTGTATCGTAACGAAATATTTATGCAAGATGTACAATAATATGTAAGCAGAATTAGTACAACCGGACACCCTGACACAAAGGATTCTGCACTAAATAAATAAATAAATCTTAAGCCAAAAAGAAAAAAGGAAGACATGAGAGGAAATTGAGGTGATAACAGTGGAAAGCTCAGCTGGCGGAAGACATTAAAAGAAGAGAATGTGAGTTTCATGGTGTATATAAACTCGGAATAATAAAAGCCAATGGATGTGGAGAAGTTAGGATCAATGGCCTGTGGTGATCCAAGCAACAGGAACGCTGGCACACTTGCAGCCAGGCTGCCTGTCTGACACCTTGGCCAGTTAAGGGTGAAGCAGCTTCCAACCTGTAATTCTCTCAAGCTCCCCTACCAAACTCACAAATTCTGAACAGGCCACAGGAAACTGGGTACTTCCAACCACTCCATGAACTACGTAATAGTGAACAAAACAGGCCTTCTTGTTCGTTTGCACTCATGTGGAGATCCAAAAGCCAAAACCAAGGGCAAGGATGGTAGTTTTCAACTTTCTCTATCACTTGGCTCCCAGACCTCCACCGTCCTCCCTGCCTAGCTCCGGCTGCCACTCTCCTCAGGTCTTTCTACTGGCTGGTCTCCCTGTCTGAAGATTAGGTGAATGTGAGTTATCAGCTGCACTGCTGCCACTCAATGAGACCATCATGACGTCACCAAATGCTGGCAGGATGGGTGGCAGATGGAGGCTGCCATTGTCCCTTCAGCAGAAACGCTGGTGGAAGAGATCTGAACCAGCACCAGACAAACTCATGACTTTTCTGACGGCCCTCCAGTCATAAAAAGCCTTTTAGTCACGTTGGCATAGGGCCCTGGTGCCGTGCCCCCTAGCTGTGTGGGGTCCCTGCTTTGATCTGCACTGCAAAACAAAACCAACAAAACCATGCTTCCAGGCTAGGCAGGCTCTGTACTCCCTTATGGGGAAAGAAACCTGACTCTGCACCCCAGGATCCTCTTTCTATTTCATTAAAAGGGGGGTGAGGGAGCAGGGAGAACCCAGGGCAGGGCTGGTACAGTCCCATCTGCTGAGTGCCGCTGCCGGGAGGGTTGTTCTCTGAGCTGACCAGTGATTGAAGCTTGTTTCCCCTCGCCAGTATTCTCAGTCATTCTTAGAGACCTGAGCTTGAGCAAGCCACTGTGCCTCTCAGGAGCTGGGCATTGCCGCTGCCTGTCATCTCTCCCTTGGTTTCCTGCAGGGCACACTGTGTGGGTTTGTTCTCTCGTGGTTCCCAAAAAGGAGCTCATGTGTGCCTTCCTCCCATTTACAGAAGGGCAGCTCTGCCCTCTGTTCTCTCTCTTCCCCTCTGTACCAGTGCCCGAACCTCTCAGCTTCACATGGGTCAGGTCAAGTTCAGACACTCTAAAACAACAGCGCATTACCCCGGCTGACCTACCAATGTTCCCCTCCAGTGAAATTAGGGACAGCACTATGAAGCTACAAGACTCATAGCATTGCTTCTTCAGAGTAAATGCCTTCACTGAACTTTTCTTCACTGCCCCTTACTCCATCTCCCAGGATCTTGTTTTGAGTGAAGGAATTTTAAGAGTCACTGTGGGGGTGTGGATGAAGATGGCCTCCACAGACTTGTAGGGAGTGGCATTATAGGAGGTGTGGCCTCATTGGGGTAGTTGTGGCCTTGTTGGAGGAAGAATGTCACTTGGGGGAAGAAGGGGACCAGGCTTTGAGGTTTCAGAAGCTCAAGCCAGGCCCAGTGGCACACTCTCTTCCTGCTGCCTGCCAATCCAGATGTGGAACTCTCAGCTCTTTCTCCAGCATCATGTCTGCCTGTATGCCACCATGCTTCCTGCCATGACAATAGTGGACTAAACCTCTGAACTGTAAGCCAGCCCGATTAAAAGCTTTCTTTTGTAAGAGCTGCCGTGGTCATGGTGTCTCTTCACAGCAATAGTACGTTAACTGAGACAGTCACCAAGTGATTAAACTTCCATTCAAGGTTTGTTTCCCCCTCAGGCAACTTCAGAATTTCATACCTCTTGTCTCTTGTTACTTCAGTCAAAATTACATACATCTTTTGAGCTAGTATGAATCTCTAAAAAGCCATTTCAGTCCATTAACACGAAGAACATAGGGTTTAAAAAACATGTTCCCGTAAGTCACACTCAAGTATAGTGCTGTCTCGGCATGAGGACAACAGAGCACACACCCTTGCCCGTCCGTCTCTTGACTGAGGGAAGCGGCTGTGACAGGCAGTCAGACCTATGTTCTCTTCCAGAGTTCAAGGGCACAGCTGTCCACATCCTGTCTTCCCTTCTTTTTATACAGGGTTTTAGATAGCAAACCAGGCTGACCTCCAACTCATTCCCATAGCTGAGGCTGACCTTGAACCTCTGACCCTCTTGCCTCTACTCCTGAGCACTGCGTTTGTGTCTATAATACCACACCTGGCAATTTTGGGGTGGGTTGTGGAGGGAGTCGGGTGTATTTTGAGACAGCCTCTTTAGGTAGCTCATGCTCGTCTTGAACTGGGCTTAAACAATCCTCCTGCCTCTGCCTCTGGAATATGGGGATGATAAAAGTGTGCCAAAATGCTCGGCCACATTGGTCTTAACTTTATCGTTACCAAGGAAATAGGTGTTCCTTTAACAAAAATATTACCACATGTTAGGAAGCTGTTGCTCATGGCTTGTGTCACAAGCCTGAAGCACACTGACCGCTGCTCACTGGGGTTCCTTACAGGGCACAGGTGACTCAAGGGCAGCTGTACACCCACAGAGCCCACCCCAGCTCCCTAGCTGCCTCCCTAGAGTTTCTCTGCAGTTAGGAATGGCTAGACCTAAGAGAATCATTTCCAGCAACTGTTAAATGCTTATGTAAGTGTTCTGGTCCTGACATGTGAGTCTTGTAACTTTCTGAGCTTCCTGGGCCCTACAAATTTTCTTTTCCTTCCTGAGTCTTATGCCCTACTCCTAAGAGGGAACTTTTAAATTCAGAAGAAACAGCTATGTACCATGTTCTGCTTTGAATCTATCTCAAGACTTCCTCCCTCATTTTTTATTAGACTTTACTTAAGTGTGTGTGTGTGTATGTGTGTGTGTGTGTGTGTGTGTGTGTGTGTGTGTGTGTGTGTGTGCACGTGTGTGCACGCATAGGCACGCATAAGTGGACTCCAGAAGACAACTTGCTACCACTAAGCAGTACTGCTGGCCCCTCCTCTCAAAATTTGTCTATGTTTTAAACACATGACTTTCCCTCTCTCCTGCTTGGTGAGGTCCCATGTGGGTTCCTTAGCACATTCTTCCTCGTTACACTTTCATAAACCTGACCACATTAGACTGGATTGGCCTATTAGGGTTTGGCTGTTGGCAATTATCCTTTAAAACTTAAGGCTTGTTAGCACATGGCTTTGATACGAGCCCTTGGAAGGCAGAGGCGGGAGGATGGCAAATTTAAGGCCATTTTGGGCCCACAGCCAGAGCCTGCTTTCAAAACAAAAGGAAACAGAACCAACTAATAAAACGGAGAGGCTGTGCTGCTTGTAGTTCGGGACTGAGAAACCTTTGGCAGCCAGTGGAGTTCATGTCCTCTTTTCTATTTGGCAGCTCTTCAAAATGGCGTCCTCGGATGTTTTGCAATGCGCTGTGCTGCTTCAGTTAGGCTATCTGTGTGTGAACTCCGAAGGAAGACAGCTGGATGACTGGAGTATTTGAAGCTGGATTACACTGCTGTGTGGATACCTTTACACAAACTAAGTGTGGACATAGAAAGTGACCTGAGTCAGAGTCCTGTTCAAGGGTCAAGAATTCCTAGTCTGATAAAAAAGGAATGCTGTTGATTCCTTCATTTCCGGAAAGCTCACCTCAGCCAGTTGGTAGTTTTTTCTCCGGCTATTCCAAAAAGACGTGCCCTGGAATGTATGAGTGCTGGGGGTTGGTTTGGTGCTTTGTACTCAAATTCTGATTTCAGTGCCTTGAGCTCTGGTTGCTGCCCTGCCGTGGGCATTGTTATTAATGTTGAACTATCTCTTGTACCCACGTGACGAGAAGGAATTTCCCCCAAGTATCCCTGACTTGTTGATTAAAAGGCCTACACTTGGGCAGGGCAGGAGGCAGGCGTGGCTGAGGTTCCAGGGCTTTGGGGACAGAAGGGGCCTGGGAAGGAAACAAGTAAGGAAGGAGGAAGAAGGAAGACACACATGGCCATGGGTTAGCCTGAGGAGAAGCACATG